CCAGATTCGTGCGCCATGCAATAATGTCAACGTTGATACCCACTGGCTTTTAGCGAACACGCAGTGTGTGTGTGCGGATTGGGGTGGGTGGGTGTGCAACAGTGGCTTGTGTAAATGCGCCGCAAGCCTGCGCCGATCGGCGTTGGATAACATCGGTGGGAGACGTGTCGCGTGAGCCCGGTTTGGGCCACCTCTAGCTCGACTCAGCCTTGAATGAGTAGCCGGTGTGGTGTGTGAGTCTATCAGCAATGGGCGCGGCACTGAACTCAGTGCTGGCCTTAACGTGTGATTCGTAACAGTCACTTGCTCTCACAAGCTAAAGGCTGAGCAGGTGATCTTTGTTTACATATGGATAGTTTCTGCTTCAATGCATAGCATTTAAAAGTCAACTGGCAATGTATTTCTGTATTCTTAGGTTTTTTCGGTAAAGTCACGTAGGTAAAACATTTTAATTAATAAAAGTGAAACAAAAATAAAATAAAAATCACGACGTTTCGGAGGCAACACAAGCTTCCGTCTTCAGGTGGAACCGTCACAGCACGATAGCTGTATCAAGTAAAATAAAAATAAAAATCACGACGTTTCGGAGGCAACACAAGCTTCCGTCTTCAGGTGGAACCGTCACAGCACGATAGCTGTATCACTTGATACTTGATACAGCAATCGTGCTGTGACGGTTCCACCTGAAGACGGAAGCTTGTGTTGCCTCCGAAACGTCGTGATTTTTATTTTATTTTTATTTTACTTTTATTAATTTAAATGTTTTACCTACGTGACTTTACCGAAAAAACCTAAGAATATGAATCCTTGCAGTCACGAAAGCTTCAAATCTAGAATGTGTCTCTGTGTTAAGAAAGAATACTGTAAAGATATTGGCAGCACCACTGCACATCAGCGGCGAGTGAGATCTGAACTGAGTGAGGGTCGCATCTTCACTGATTATTGTGGTGAAGTATGGTCAAATAGCTCCTGGCACGCCATGAGAAGACCTTCATCCCGAGCTGGAGTGATAACTGAGGGTACATTGTTGAATTACCACTACATCACACCACGTATTACCCGACACACACACCGCTGCACGTACGAGATTACATCATTGCATTATTGCCGAGATAAAATCCACGCGTTAATGATTGTTTCAAAACACACACACACATTCATTCATAAATACATACCAGACACAAGATACATATACACACACACAGATGTAGTCATACATAAGTTAACACGTAGAATTTGCGCAGCCAATATGATTCATATTCGATTTTTGCATTTACGTGGTAAAATGTCTGCCCTAATTAAGGATGCAAATTTGGCCAGACCATTGGGTGACCTGTCCCAAAAATCCATTATGAATGGAACACATACATTAGTATATATATCTATATAAACAAATGCATTCGTTGTAAGCATAACATAGGCACACGCAGCAATACCTCGGTTTACGTTGAGGATGCGTTCCTGAAAGGTGCGACGACAAATATCTAAACGACATAAAAAAAAATCGAAGCGGTTTACGGGGTAGGTGGTGGTGGATGGTGGCGGTGGTGATGGGTGGTGATGGTGGTGGTGGCGGTGGTGGCGGTGGTAGTGGGTGGTGGTGGTGCGTGGCGGTGGCGGTGGTGGTGGCGGCGGTGGTGGCGAAGCGACGGATCACGAGAAAGGAACGCGCATTTGGGTGACTTTGGGAGACGCACATCGAGTCGCGGTGTTCATGAAGCATCGACGCATATGCGAAACGACGCAATAGGGGGGAGAGAGAGAGACGGACATTTGTGGGCGCTGCTGTACAGCCTGCGGTGATGCGAGTGGCAAGGCAGGTAAGCGGGGGGAAAGTCAGGGGGTACGGTCACTGTGGAGATGGAGCGATGATCACTCGGGGCCCGAGCGTGGAGGAACGAGACACATCGCGGACTCGTGCCGGGGTGGGTACAGATCGTGGCTGCCCATTATAATAATGCAACGCGGACAACAGTTTAACAGCGACCACAAACTCCAATTTGAATGTGCACAGCAAACAGTGGCATTCAAATCGTGCAAATGTCTGCAGCCAAACAAACCCAAGGACAGAGGTGAAGGGAATGAATAAATGTACTGTACTCTTGTTTAAATCACAAAATCGAATCTGGGTTTTTTTGTCGTTGAGAAAAAAAAACGTTGCCAGAACGTCAAGAAAATTGTGTTAACGTGGAGAGAGAGAGGCGAGCAGGCGGCGGTGGGGGGAGGTGAGACTGAACGGCGGTGCGCGTTTATTCCAGAGAATGTGGTCGTCAAATCGTGCAGCCTTCACGCACACAGCCTCCCCCAGCACGCCCGTATAGCCTGGAACAGACTATTGGGGCAAGAGCTGCCAGCGAGAGAGACGCCCATGGCACACGAGGTGGGGGTGGCCAGCAACCACGCCCGGCCGCCTTTGTCTCCCCACAGCGTGGATTGTTTAACACACCGCACCGGGTACTCATTTGAGGCTGAGTCGACCTAGCGGAGGCCCAACGACCGACTTAGATAAAACCGTCACTGGTGCGAACCGCTCATCCCCCACACCAAAAAAGGCAAAGATCCCCCGTATAGCCTTAACAGACTGTAGGGGCAAGTGCTGTCAGCGAGCACTTATGAAGATCGGCACGGCACACGAGGGGGTGGGTGGCCAGCACCACGCCCGACCGCCTTTGCCTCCTCTAGTGGCGATGTTTACACACCGCACCAGGTACTCATTTGAGGCTGAGTCGACCTAGCGGAGAGGCCCAGGACCAGTTCAGATAATCGTCACCGTTGTTGGCCGTGAGCAGGCAATCCAACTTGGGTCGCCGGGTTCGTAGCCCAGCGTAGCGCGCTAACCGCTGCACCACCGCTCCCCGCCACCCATCACCGCAACACCCACTCGCTCCATCGCCGGCGAACGCATTTCAATTCAGTGCCAGAGGTCGCGCCACCGAGACGGGTTGGCGGCTCTCTTCCGAGCGAGTCCCGTGGCCGGTTCACCGCGGTCCGTCCCGGGGCTTTGTGCCTACGTGACCGCTCTCAAAGGGGCCCCTTTGTCTCGCGGGCGGGCAGCCGTCCGTCCGCCCATTGGCAACGGGCGGCGAGGCTTGCGCGCGTGGCAGCGTTGCCCAACGCAGTCAGTGGCCGGCGGTCAGAGGGCTTCCCGGGATGGAGTGGTGGGATGGAGTGGTGTAGACGCGGGGTGGTAGTGCGTGGGGTGATGACGAGGAGTTTGTGTACTCTTTGGTTCTTCTTGGTTCTTTCGGTAAAGTCACGTAGAATGGGAATAATAATTAATAATTTTAAAATATTATTATATATATTATTATATTATTTTATTATGTTTTTTTATTATTTCCATTTTACGTGACTTTACCGAAAGAACCAAGAAGATGAATCCCTGCAGTCACGAAAGCTTTAAATCGATACTCTTTGGTTCTCTCGGTAATGTCACGTGGGTAGAAAATAATAGATCACGACGTTTCGATCGCAACACAAGCAACCGTCACCAGGTGATATCAACACAGTCTCACCTGATTGATAGCTTGAAAGCATTTAGTGCGGTGCCTGTAAGCTACTACTAGTAGCAAAAGTAGCTACACATGTAGTCGTAGCTACTACTACATATGTAGCTACTACAAAAGTAGATACATATGTCGTAGTAGCTCCTACATATGTAGTAGCTACTTTGGCTACTAAGAGAATTCGGCACTGGTTGGTGGACCACTGATCAACGGCACCTGCTCCGGTCCAGACAGACACCATCCACCGATTATAAAGCCTTGCCTATACAATGCGTTTGATATTTGGAAAAAACCTGCGAAACTCATAGCCCGCTTTTGTTTTTTGGCCGTGACCTAAGCTGGCCTACGGTGCACACTAACTATGCAATTAAAATCCACGCTGCAGCAATAAATTCTGGGATTCACTCAATTTACTCGGCTGTAAAGCGTCTCGTGGGCGCACATTATTTTCTTGTCAAACATCGCCAACGGCGTCGTTGCATTTCTCCAAAATCTTCTCGGCCGGGCGTGTTGGCGCGCGACCCCAGAGGTCCGCATTTTTCCCCGCAGGGGAGAGGCTGACGGGTCACGCAAGCTTGTGAAATTCCCGAGCCTGCTGAGGGGAGCCCGAGAAGATGGCAGTAGAGAAAGTAGGTCCCCATAACCCCGTGTGCAATGTAACAAACATTTTACTAAATTGAGTGGATCTTAAAAAAAAATAATCTTCGTTTTTTCGGTATATACGCTGCCAAGCCTGGTGGTGTTCATTCAGACGCTGCCTTTCCGACAGACCTGTTCTTCACCTGAGGACGGCTGCTTGCGTTGTGGCCGACACGTCGTGAGAATTGTATTTTATGATGTTTCATTTTTATTATTTTATTATTTCCCTTCTACGTGACTTTACCGAAAGAACCAAGAAGATGCATCTCGTCTCGTCCCACGACCAGCGGCGGCACGGGACACGGACCCGGGATCCGACGGGGCAGTAGTGAATTACTTCTTCTTTGAGGCCGAGACGTCATCCCCGTGCTTAGAGAAGTACATCTCAAAATGACCCTTTCATCGCAGGGCACGCGAACAAGTGTGGCCTTTTTATTCCTCCCCCCCCCCCTTCATTTTCCTGTCTGGTATGCGTCGTAAATATAGCTTGCGCTCAAAGGGCGGTCAAGTGGCTTTTTAGGAAGAAAGTGTGTCGCTTCAGCTCACTGAACGTTCGGCCTGTTTGATAATTCATGCATAAGCGGTGCGTTAAACTACGTTGGGGGCATCGCAGCGCAGATGCGATGGTTGTGAGGCCAGTGGTGCTCGCTCGATAATGTTTTTTTGCGGATATATGGCGTGTACATTTTGATGATTGTGCCAAGTAAACCAAGCCTTGGCAAGTGACTACAAACGTTTAACAATGCATTGATTAATGTGTGTGTGTGTGCTGTGTGTGCTGTATATCTTTTGTGTTTGCTAATGACCTTACATGGGCCACATTGGGTGAGTGGGGGGGTGTCATCGCGCACTCACCCTGGGACAGCACGGTGGGCTTGGAGATGTCCTGCCCGTCCACGGAGCAGGCGTTTCCCTGCGGGTGCAGCGTGAAGGTGCTGCCGGCGCTGTTCTCGATGTGGCAGTGGTCAGCCGCCACCCCGCGGCCGTGCAGAGCGACGTCGACGGCGGGCTGACCGCCCGGCCGGCCGAACGTGGTGCGGGCTGGCGCCACCAGGCACACACGGAGACAAACATGGAAGTGGAGAAAGATGGCAAACTACCATTCTTAGATATTCTGTTTGAGAGGACACCTGATGGATCTTTGGGACATTCTGTCTACAGGAAAGCCACCCACACAGATTCCTACTTGAAACCTGATTCCCACCACCACCCGTCTCAAAATAATTCTCTCATCAAAACACTATACCACAGAGCTCATGGCATTTGTGACCAACACCACCTGGCCAGTGAATTAAGACATGTACATCGGGCCCTCAGGATGAACGGATACTCTATGACTGCACCATCCGCCAAGCTGTTTCTCCCACCATACAGAAACAGCCACTTGAAACTCTGATAAAAACAATCACGTTGCAGGTGTGACCAAAAAGATCTCCAGACACGGAGACAAGCAACGGGAGCAGGGCTCACCAGGGTGTTCAGTGGGGTGTGGTGGGGGGCGGGGAGATCACCCTCTTTTGAGTCAACCAAATAATCTTCTTGGTTCTTTCGGTAAAGTCACGTAGAAGGGAAATAATAAAATTATAAAAATAAACATAGTACAATACAATTCTCACGACGTTTCCACCACAACGCAAGCAGCCGTCCTCAGGTGAAGAACAGGGAAGAACAGGGCTGTCGGAAAGATAGCGACAGACCTGTTCTTCACCTGAGGACGGCTGCTTGCCGTTGTGGCCGAAACGTCGTGAGAATTGTACTTTATTATGTTATTTTTTATTATTTTATTATTTCCCTTCTACGTGACTTTACCGAAAGAACCAAGAAGATGAATTCCTGCAGTCACGAAAGCTTTAAATCGAAATTTAACCAAATTACTGAAGGATTTTTGTTTAAATTTTAATTTCACCAGGTAAGGCCCCACTGAGCTATACAGCTGTTTCACGCGTAGGGCTTTCGCGCCCCAATAGTATTCGTAATAAAGGTTGTTTGGGTTAGATCGCGTAAGTATAAACGTGTCGTCGTGAACCCGCCGCCACCCGACAGCACTGTAAAAATCGCCCGACGATGCTGGATGTAGTTACCAGCGAAACGTTGTTCTACTCAAATTGTAAATGTTGTGGATTTACTCTCCAACACACCATTGGGCTGAAGTAGTAACTAATTGGCACGCTGTGTTTACGTAACAAACCTTACTAATTGACAATGTCGGGTGCTGGAGGGTTAACGACACATTTATTACTTCTGTGAATGCCACCCAAGTTGGCTGGCAGTGTCCCGCTGGGCCTTGCGATGAAGAACAAACAGCGTGTCAAGGTGCTTTCAGCGAATTGATGAGAGCTATTGCGCACGTGGGGAGGAAACCGAAAACCCACACCGCCTTATGCGAGGGGGCAACGCTCGATCCCCGTACAGACGGCGAAACATTCCGATAAGTGCACTTGTTTCCGCACGCCACATGGAGTGTGGCTCTTCCTCTCGCTGTGGCCAATAGCCGCGCACGTTGACCCGGAAAATATTCAGTGAAGAATTCAACGCCCATCACCGCACCAGGGCCATGCCTCGTTCAGTGGGCAACTACATAATACGACCTCGCTTACATAGATTGTAAAACTAGTAAAATATTCACATATTCATGGAGACCTCGCGCTGTTTGTTGTTGTTGTTGTGTTGTCGTTTGTTTCTGTTCTTCATTGTCATAGTCATTGTTGTCGTGTGTTGTCATTTGTTGTTGTTCATTGTTGTTGTGTTGTCATTAGTTTGTTGTTCGTTGTCGTGATCATTGTTGTCGCGTGTTGTTGTTTGTTGTTGTTCATTGTTGTCGTGAATGTTGTTGTTGTGTTGCTGTTTATTGTTCATTGTTGTTGTGTGTTGTCATTAGCTGTTGTTGTTGTTCTTCCTTGCCGTCGTCACTATTGTCGCGTGTTGCCACTTGTTGTTGTTGTTGTTGACGCTGCTCACCTTGGTCCAGGGGCAGCAGGGTAACTGCCACGCTCCATCGCCCTCCGCCGAGGCTCACCAGGTGAGGCTTCTCCGTCTGCACCTTGAGCCCCTTGCCCACCTCGCTCACGTCAAGCGACGTGCTCTGATGACAAACACAAACAAACACGATGAAAGCGCAGGCTGGAGGCCACGGACGCTGGACTTCTTTCGCACCGTACAATAGCCAACCGTGCCGATCGGAGGTGCGGTTTCATCACGAGCCAGGATCTTAAGGATTGGATGCGTACGCCGTGACGATGAACAACTGCGAGACAGAGAACTAGTAAAGCAAATAAAATTTCGATTTAAAGCTTTCGTGACTGCAGGAATTCATCTTCTTGATTCTTTCGGTAAAGTGACGTAGAAGGGAAGTAATAAAATAATAAAAATAAAACATGATAATTATTTTATTATGTTTATGTTATTATTTTATTACTTCCCTTCTTTTTATTAAAATATAATAATAATTTTATGTTTTATTTTTATTATTTTATTACTTCCCTTCTTTTTATTATGTTTTATTTTATTATTTTATTACTTCCCTTCTACGTGACTTTACCGAAAGAACCAAGAAGAGTTAAGCAAAGTCGCTCAAAGTAAATGAATCTCAAAGTACGTGGCGGAGAAGAAGTACAAGGTGGAGGTTTGGCCGACAAACTTGCCCAGAAGACAACCCAAGAGAAATGATTTGATGTATGTTCTTGGTGTGTGTTGCTGCTGTTGTTGTTGTAGTAAACATTTGGAAGAGCAGTTCCGGGGGCTTACCCTTTTCAGATAACCGGCCAAATTGTTCGAAGGAAATGAAAAAAAACCGGTGCGCTAGGGGTGCCATCGTCGCGCCGAGAAAACAAAACACGCACAAGGAAGAACAATCACGCACACGCATGGAGCCTGTCACCCTCTTCCCAACCGAGGGTGGTTGGAGGGTCGGGGGGTGGCTTTCATCCACCACCGATCGTTGCCGTCGCCATCCGAGCCGCAGGCATGAGATGACACCCGACAGCGGTGTTTAGTAGACTTTCTCCGTCCATTGAAACATCCGAGGAACCTTGAACCTGAAGTCTACAGACGGACGGACGGAGTCTTCGTGCCGCTGCCCTGCAGTGCGCGCGCCCCACTGCTTGTCACGCGGCATTTCGAGGGGCAGCTGGATTTTCAGGGTCCTACGGTGGCTGGGAGATGTTTACTACCTCGCCTGGTATGCAGGAGGTCGTGGGTTCGATCGCCGACCCTGACGCCTGCTGCTGTATATTTGGAGTTTGCGTGTCTCTCTCTCTCCGTGGTGAGATGTTAACTACCTCGCCTGGTATGCAGGAGGTCGTGGGTTCGATCCCGACACTGACGCCTGCTGTGTATTTGGAGTTTGCATGTTTCTCTGTCTCTCTCTCTCAGCATCATTCGTTTTACAATATCTGGCTACTATACCTTTCCACGTGATTCGCCACTTCATTGAGCTATCATTTGTGGCAAAGTCGCTTCTGAAAAAAGAGTTACATAGCTCAGTGGGCCTTAACTGGTAAAGTTCAAAATAGATGTAAGAGGTTAAACCCCGAGTCTACTGCACCACCACGCTGTTGCCATGCCCACCAGTGTCCGATGGAGCCCCCCCCCTAACCCCTATACCCCCCCCCCTCCCAGCGAGTAAAACCCATTGAGCTAAGAAGCTCTGTTAACAAGTGGGCGACTCGGCCAGGAGACATCATGAAAGCATTCCACAATTAGCGATTTGAAAAACAAACTTAAGAGTACGAGAAATTATGTTGCTAAATAACATTCACACTTCAACTTAAGTGTTGTTAATAACAGTCAGCTTAAATGAGGACAGAGAGCCATAGGCACACGCAGAGACCCATAGACCCATACAGAGACCCATAAACTCACACAGAGACCCATAGACTCAGAGAGCGCTAGGCTCACACAGAGACCCATAGACTCACACAGAGACTCATAGACTCAGAGAGCCCTAGGCTCACACAGAGACCCATAGACTCAGAGAGCCCTAGACTAACACAGAGAGCCATAGACTCACACAGAGACCCAAAGACTCACACAGAGACTCATAGACTCACACAGAGACCCATAGACTCAGAGAGCCCTAGACTCACACAGAGAGCCATAGACTCACACAGAGACGCATAGACTCAGAGAGCCATAGACTCACACAGAGACCCGTAGACTCAGAGAGCCCTAGACTCACACAGAGACCCATAGACTCACACAGAGACCCAAAGACTCACACAGAGACCCATAGACTCACACAGAGACCCAAAGACTCAGAGAGTCCTAGGCTCACACAGAGACCCATAGACTCACACAGAGACCCATAGACTCACACAGATACCCATAAACTCACACAGAGACCCATAGACTCAGAGAGCCCTGGACTCACACAGAGACCCAAAGACTCACACAGAGACCCATAGATTCACACAGAGACCCATAGACTCAGAGAGCCCTAGACTCACACAGAAACACATACAGAGACCCAGAATGGAGATGGCCAAGAGACGAAACTTACGTGGTTTCAACCCCCTTTGGGGGCAGCTACAATAAATGCCTTTGATCCAAATTGCGTGCGAAATCTGCCACGTGGCACGTGCCGTTGTTTTTTTCCCCCTATTCGGCCATCTGCTCTCCCCGGCCGCTCTCTCTCTCCCTCTCTCGGGGGTCTCGTTCGTGGCCCCAATGGAGGCTTACTGATTGTGACCTCAGCCAGCGCGGTAATGAATTCATTAAATCTCTTCTAATTGCCCGGGCAATGGGGTCTCTGGGCTTTATTAAAGCTTTTGAGAGAAAAAAAAACCCGCACCATGATTAACCTTTGCTACCCACCCCACGCCATCCCACACCCCCCCTAGCTTTTGTTGATGTGTTTAATCGTACCGTCGTTGTTGTTATTACAGCTGGTTACTGTATGTTGCGAACGGAGTTTAAAAAAATAAATGATCATACAAACCGCATCTCCGATTAGCACGGTTAGCTACGTACGGCGAAAAATAAATTAAACGTACATGCATACCAGGGGAGAGAGAGCGAGAGAGACTACATGAGCAGCAGCAGTAGCCGCAGGAGGAGGAGGAGTAAGAAGTAGGTGTTTGGTCGATCGATCGCAACGAGGCTCGCTCTGGGGTCGCCGGACGTGCTACGCACCGCACTCGGATCACGCGGCCCGCTTCGTGAGCTTCGACGCACACACAGACACGTGACACCGGCAGTACGTGGTGTGCGTGTGTTGCTTGATGTGCATTGTTTATTTAAATGGATTCAAATATATTTCACCGAGGGGAGGATGAAAGGAGACGAAAGCAAGAGGCGGTGAGCGAGCTGAAATTAGCTTCAATTGAGAGAGAGAGCGGTTCATTTAGTTGCTGCTGCTGTTGACTGGTGTGTATGCTCGCTAACAGCACTTGCCCCCTCAGTCTGCTGAAGGCTATACGGGGGATATTTGTCTGTGTGTGTGTGACATTCACCTGGCAGGTGCACAGTGCCAGTTGATAGAGAATGGCTGGGCGATGATGATCTGTTTGGTAACAGTGTAGAGGTGATACGCGCTGGGATTAAGGATCGTATGCACAGTGCGTGATGATTGGCTGTGTAGGTGGTGACGCGCGCTGACGGTGGAGGATCAGGGGTCAGCGCGGGGTCGTGGGTTACGGGGTACCGATTGGCTGTGGGCGGTGACGCGCTGAGAGAGAGTGCGTCGTGATTGGGTCATTAAGGAACGACGCTCACGTCGACGCCGCATCAGCTCCGTCCCTCGTGAGCAGGGGCTATAAAAGGGGATGCACACAGGCGTAAGGGCAGTGTGTAACCAGCGAAGAAGGAAGACGGGGATGAAGACCTAGAGCCCTGCGGTACCTAGCCCCGCTGTCCTAAGGGGACCGGGACTCTGTGTAACCCAGAGGCGAGTGTAGTGGGTGTAGCCATAGGTCTACACGAGCCGAATGTACTATGTGTAGCCAGGGCATAGGGCTTACACGAGTCGAGTGTATTGTGTAGCCAGAGGCATAGGGCTTACACGAGTCGAGTGTATTGTGTAGCCAGAGGCATAGGGCTTACACGAGTCGAGTATATTGTGTGTAGCCAGAGGCATAGGGTCTACACGAGTCCAGTGTATCGGGTGTAGCCAGAGGCCTAGAGCTTACACGAGATTAGTGGAGTGTGTCGGAGGAAGAAGAGAGACCACACGGTGTATTGTGATACCTAAAGGATTTAATAAAAGTGTGTTACCCGTCAAGAAGTTCCTGCCGTCAATTCCCATACTTCAACTGGCGTCAGAAGTGAAACGGTCCTCCAAGCATGGATACAAGGAGGAACCGTCGGACCCACGGGATTGACCACGAGGACAACCTCGACGACGCGGGCCAGCGGGCATCAGGGGGTGAGGAAGAGGAGCTGCCCACGGGGCAGGATCCACCGACGGCGCCGGTCGAGCGACGGGGGACTGACACCGTGCTTCGCGAGGCACACTCCCGTCTGGCGGAGCTGCTGCTCGCCGCCGCGTCCATCTTGGCGGAGATCAGCTCGTCGGGAGGAGCGGGGACGGCGGCCGACGTGCTACAGGATCGCCCTGCAGATTCCCGCCAAAACGATTTGGCGATTCCCGCCATTTCATCCGCTCCAACTTTTGGCGGGAACGGCCATCACCACGTGGCAGCGGTTCTCCATGCGCGGCCGCTGACGTCACCAACGCGCGCGGCGGACCGCCATCACACACCCGCCACTGGGGCCGCCATCTTACACACCGACGGGGGGGCAGAGAGGAAGCACGAGGAGGAGGACGACTTTATCTTTCAGCAGCGCCTTCCCACGTTGTCAGCATTCAAGGCGGAAGGCGGGGATTGGAGCCAATTTCAGCGCAGATTTTTGGCGCATCAAGAGATGTCCGCCTGGTCCGACGCTACGGCACTGCAGGCACTGCCTGCCATGCTGGACGACAACGCGCTCGCGGCCTTCACGTCCGCACGTAGGTCGGACCGCTCCACGCTCAAGGATGCGCTGGCTCTCATGGCCAAAGTCTACGGTCCTCCCTCGGCGTGCCGCCATCATTTCTACGCAAGACGGAAGGCGGACACGGAGACCGTGCTCGCCTACCGCACGGCG